ATTAAGTTCTTAGGATAGTTATCCTACATTAGTATTTCTTGTTTTTTTTTTTTAGCGTAAAGCCACACAGTGGGCTGTCTGCTCTCTGTCCACCGCGGAGAATCGAACCCCCGGATTTTATCGTTGTAAGTCCGCTGACTCGCTGTGGGACGCGTTTCTTGAAGAAATTTGATTGCTGTTGCTAGAGTTTCTTTTGAAGAGATTTTGAAGTTTATATTGGTTAGTGTATTTATAATGCCATTTCTGTTGGTTGTTTTGATTTGCGATTTAAGTACCTGTTAGCACGTGTATTCTGATATTGTGAATTCTGTTTAATATTAATTTTGATCACTTTCGAATTGTTGATTTTGATTTCAGAAGTGAACTACATATTTTGGTCCGGGTTTCTGAGGTGATGAAGGAAATCAGGAATAAAGTATTGATGAAAGGGCTATAAAACGAACACCATCTACATATTTCTTCGAAAGCAGTGGGTTTCAAGAGACGTTACTTTTATTGTGCAATTTTAATCATCGATTTTTTTATCGTAAAATATTATATGCACAATGTACTTCCTTACCCAAGCATTGCATACACTTGCTGAAAACGTAGATAAATGCGATGTAAGTTAAAAGTTAATACAGAAAACAAACTTTTGTTTATATGTTTATTCTCCAAAGAATAAGTGGCATGTGTCTACGTGTGTAATGCGACACGCTGTGCATTTCAAAGTATTGGAGGGACTGGTTATAACTAGAGCGCAAGAAGGCAGGCTGTAATATGCTGTATATCTATGTTATACAACTTGAGACCTATCAAAGTTTGGTTCATGTACAATGGATACCGAAGACGTGAATTGTGAAATAGAGAGCTGATTCTTGTAGACTTTAAGCCAATAATGACGGCATTGTTTTGTGTATATAAACTTCAAGGCGTCAAAAACTTGCAACTTCGAGTACAGGTCTTTTATTTGGCTGATTATTTCTTTATATAATCATATATATGAAATAACAGGAAGCGCGGATTTGCCCTGTGATAGAGCTTTTGATTTCGAAGTTGGTGAGCCAGGCCCAACTCCACACGATACCACAAAATATTCCCACATTTTAAATATTGGTGCGTTATAAGTGTGACAGTGAATCCTTTAGCGTTGATGATGGGTGGTTTTATTTTGGTAATTGGCTGCCCGACTTCCTTGTTTGTAGTTAAAAAGTGAGGACGTCAGCAGATAGCCTTCATAACCTCACCATAAATACAATGAAATAATAATTTGTCGCTTTACCATTACTTTATAGATTAAACATGTCTAATTATATTGAAAAAATTAGAAATAAATATTATTGATGTTGATTTTACGAAGAAGAGAAGTTTTATGGTTATGCATATTGCAATTGGAAGAGATGGAACACGTCTCCACGAACATTACCTGCCACTATATAAAGTCCTTCATTATAAGGTGTTTTTTACAATGTTCATCTACCAGAGTCTCAATTCGTAACATAGACTACTTGTTTATAAATATATGTAGGTATAGGAGCTTCTACATAACATGGGATCTTTTACTGTGCTTGTTATGCTTCCTGTACATTTACTTCAGTTGTACGGTTCTGAAACCTGGAGAGTAAACACCACTACATTCAACAAACTCCAGACTTCCATCAACAGATGTTAAGTGACTAGAAACCTTCAGTAACAATGATCTACAGCAGAGAACCAATCAATATCTTACCATCATCCAAATTGTCAAACGAAAATGGGGTTGATTTGGATATACCCTCAGGAAACAAGTGGACAACATCACCAGACAAGCTCTCGAGTGAAACCCACAGGGCAAAAGATAAGTTTGGAGAAGATCGGTCGACGAGGAGATGAGGATGACGAGAATGACTTGATATGAGGTGAAGAAAGCAGCCCAGAACCGTGCCCAGTAGCAAAGTGTTGTTGAAGCCCTATGCTTCGTTCGAAATTTCAAGATTTACGTCAGTCAAATTTGTTCAACTTTTCTCTTGAGCAAAGCTAGTGCAGAAAAGGATTAAAGCAATTCGCTGTCTTATCAAGTGAATTACCTTGATTTTATATAGCCGTTTCAACTTGAGCGGATTGGGCTTTACTTAAAAAGGCTGGGCTTGACCTAGTAGATAGCGTATCGGAAGACCCAAGGTTCAACCTGTCATATACCGATATACCAGTGAATATGTGAGGAAGTTATAACTGTGACAATCTCAGTTCCCCTATTCGGGTAAGAGCAGACGTGCTACCCACTGGTTTTACTCCAGTTTAAATTAGTGATAGATATGTCTGGAGCTTATGGTTTCTGATCTGACCGTTTATCCTGTGTGACACACAAGGTGCCGTTCGGGTTGAAAATACCAAATAATTTCTAAAATATTAAAACCATCAAAGTATTATTGCTTTTTAACCAAAATAATATGTTCAGGAATCTTTTGAAATAATGTTCTAAAGCAAACTTTAGGGTCTTATTATATTCAGCATCTCGGCGTTATTCCATCTTTATGAAGTGAAATTTATCTAAACCGTTAAATGTGAAATGCAGAATTCTCCTCACGATCATACAGAAATTTTTAATGTTCAAATTCAACTCAGTAGTTTGTAAACTATTTAACATTTAGAAATTGAATGTTTTCATACTCTATAGGTTTTACTATTTGAAGCGAAAATCGTAAAACTGTTATCTGAAAGAAAAGGTTTTCCTGAGTTGGGTCTTTGTGTCGTGTCTTGACAGATAATAATGCTAATACTTACAGTTTTAAATTTTGGGTAACCTAAATCGCTTGAAGTTTTTTGGATTTAGCAAATCCTTGGACTACTTCTTAGAATCCCCTAACCACGGATAAAGTAGCTGCCTTGTGATAAGCTTTCAGAACTTACTGTAGATTTTATTTCTCTCTGCTCGAATAACAACATATCTATGAAGATTTGTCCACAAAACGTGTTTTTAGCGTCGTGAACAAGATTTGAACTTGTGTCATGTCTTTGTGATTGTATTGTATTTAAAGCCGGAAACATTACTGTAAAACGTTTAAATTTACCCTAAAGAAAAATTACCTGAGGTGGGATACATTAGATTAACTTTTTCACATACGTTTTGTTCTTTTAGTGTTCTTTTAAGGTCTAAGGTACTCTAAATTTTAATTACTTAATATGGTTTTGAACTTAGTTTCAGACTTCACACCTACACTGCTTTGTGTAATTGATAATATGGTTTTGAACTTTGTTTCAGACTTCACACCTACACTGCTCTGTGTAATTGATAATATGGTTTTGAACTTTGTTTCAGACTTCACACCTACACTGCTCTGTGTAATTGACTCGCTGTACTCATACATGCTTCACATGGATTAGTTTGGTTTGTTTTTGAATTTCGCGCAAAGCTACACGAGGACTATCAGCGCTATCATGTCCTTAATTTAGCAGTGTAAGACTAGAGGGAAGGCAGCTAGTCATTACCACCTAGCGCCAACTCTTGGGCTACACTTTTACCAACGAATAGTGGGATTGACCGCAACATTATAACAACCCCACGGCTGAAAGGGCGAGCATGTTTGGTGGGACGGGGATTCGAACCCGCGACCCTCAGATTGCGAATCGAGCTCCCTAACCACCTGGCGATGCTGGGCCTAGCTTCACATTGAAGTGCTTGGAATACGAGATTTTATATCTTGTTCTCAGCTTTGCAAAATATTACTTACTTTATTTTATATGTCTCCAAATTGGCGTCAAGTTTTTTTTTTTTCCAGTTTGTTGTCTCCCGGTTGGACAACGCTAAAATACGGGGCTCTAATTCATTCTCGGAATACTCTGGAAATTCTTTTTTTGTGTGTGTGTGTGAATTAAAAATTCATTTTTCCAAAAATATGTTAACTTTGTAAACACTAAACTATTCATCGTCATTTCTTTCGGAATCTATTAAAGTATTTGTTTACCATAAAACAGAATTATTGCCTTTCGAGATTCACCTTTTATAGCAAGCATTCAAAGTAAGTTATTAGAAAATAATTTCTTGTGGTGCATTCAAATGAATTTTATTTTATGGTACGGATCAAGTTACTCCTACTGTGTCTATACTCAGAAAATATTTTTAAAACACTTGTATATGATATATTATGAATATAACTTTACGTGAGAAGTAACGTCATGAGTTGTTACTTTTCAACATGTCGAATGTTCAAAAGAAATGTTTTGAAAATACGCCTATGACTATATTATTCATAATAATAATTCTGAAAAACTATATTTTAGGTTTACAATATCCAGCTTAAAATTTTATTTTAGTTTAAAAGGCTTATAAGTTGTTCACCAATCTTTCAAGACCCTAATAAAAGAAACAGATAATAAAATAGAAACAGAAATTAAAATAGATATATCATTAAGATGGATACAAAAGGGGGAAGAACTGAAATCTAAAAATAATAAAATAGTAAAAATTCTTAGGTCTGTTGTTAAACTCAAAGCTACACAAAAATAATAAAATAGTAAAAATCCTTAGGTCTGTTGTTAAACTCAAAACTACACAAAGGGTCATCTAACTACACTGGGTTCATCACTAGGATAAAACTCAGAATTTTAGCCGTTATAAGCCCTCAAGCTTACCGCTGATTCACTGGAGGGGGGCGGAGTGAATGATTAACTTCTTTAATACAGAATCCAAAACAAAAACCGATCAAATATCAGCGTTATCGCTGTTCAGTGTTGTGTAAAATTTTGATCTGAATATTTTAATAAGGACTTTAAAGGGCGAAGAACAAGTTTAAAGATGCGAAAGCTTAACTTTTACATTTAAGTAAAAGTTAAGCTTCAGCCGGTGCCTCTGTACTATATGGCTTTCACGCTTTAACTGAAATTTATCTTTAAAACAAAAAGGCTGAAGGTTCAATGAAATAAAAAATTACTCAACTAGAAAAGAAAAAATACAGACAAAGGAAGTGTTATTTATCAGTAAGTTGAAACATAGTCCGCTGTATTAATCTATATATGTTGAATTGCTTCTTTGTTACACCTACATTCCACGTAGAGCATGAGCCTCTTGCTGACTGAAGGAGGTACACCATTGACGGCAATACATAGATAAGCACCGGAATGTTCTCTGTTGATGCTTACGAGACCTAAGTGCTCGCCTTCATAGGTGTCCACTGCAATATAAAGACAGAACAACAGAATAACCAAAATGTAATACTAGCTTGTCTGAAAGCCTAGAAAGAATAACTAAGTTTTTTTGGACTATTTTCAGTTAGAGAACAAAATAGCTTTCAGCTTTGTCATAATTAAATCTTTGTTCTGGTTTTTTTTTGGGTTCGGGGGGGGGGGGGGGTGGCTTTCAAGAACTCCAAAATATAACAATGTATGTACTTAATATATATATATAGGTTTTTTTCGTTGTTTGTTGTCAAGCGCAAAGCTGTATAATAGCATATGCGAGCTGCACCCAGCCCAAGGATCAAATCCCTGCAATAGCGTTATTAGCCCACACATGTGGAGACTATTTTTAGCAGTGTTGTTCATCCAGCAGTTATTTTTTAGGCTCCATGTAACTAGTGTTGTTTTCGTTTATTCGTGTTTTTGTTAAGCACAAAGTTACAAAATGGACTATCTGTGCTTTGTACACCGCCGGTATCGAAATCCGATTTTTACCGTTATAAGCTCTCAGACTTACCGTTGAGTCACCTGGGGATACCTAATGTTTAACCATCACTGATAACATTGCATAAAGAACGTTAATTGCTTAATAATATTTTTATGGGCTCTAAGTATCTACGTTTCCTTTTAGTTCAACAGAATTCACCAAAACATTATTAACAGTAATAGTAAGTATATAAAACCCAGAAAGAATCTATCATTGCTGAATAGTTACCTTGCAACCAATATTTATCTAAACTTTCAGTGAATTGTGAATAAATTAGTAAACGAGCTTATCATATTATATTGTTAATTGGAGCCCGTTCCCTTGTTGAAAATAAAACATTATAAACTGTGTTTTCGCCAACAGACAAGTTATTCTATAAATCGTCATCAAGAAACAAGTTGTCCCCTAGTGACACTGTGGTATGTCAGCGGACTTATACCACTAGAAACCGGGTTTCGATACCCGTTGTGGGCATAGCTCAGATAGCCCTTTGTGTAGCTTTGTGCTTAATAACAAACAACAACAAGAAACAAGTTTATCAAATGTTAGAACTAAAAGCAGATTGTATTTAATTCTTACAGGTTAAACGAGAAAAAAACAATATTTGTATTTCCATAACTTACTCTATAATTAATCATTATATTATTTTTCAGTGTACAATTTTTAACCCAACTCATATTCAACGATTAAAGTTTATATTCTGTTCTTTCTTTACAGTCGAAGGCGTAATGGCAGGGCGCCCATCTTCTGATTAAGAGATGGTTATTTTTTTTTAGCTTAATGGCAAGATATTCTTGCATTTTTAAGGTGAAATGCTTCCCACAAATGGAGAATGATACTGGAAAAACTAGAGGCAGGCACAATATCACATTCGTTTAGACAGTGTTAGCTTCTAGTAGTTGATCCAATATATCACTGAGTGCAACTCGGGCACGTGACTTCATATACCACTAGCAAAGTGTTGAATGGATGTTATTTGTTCTAAAGTTAAAGAGTAGTTTTAACCGAAACTCTGATTTAAGGAAACATTTAAACCGAACTTGTGGATATAGATGCTTGATAATGCTCTTAATTTTTCTTCTTAATTAATTATGTAATGAATAATGCCTAAGTGTGGTAGGACTAAAGTAATAGTTTTCTTTGGAACATCAGACATAACAAATTATTAGGGGTATTTATTTTTTTCAGTTTTTGTTTGGACTATTATTTATTGAGGAATGACAATGAAAAATAATTTATTCTAAGCAGATGTTCAATGTTATTAACTTTTGTTTAAACGTTTTGATTTTCCTTGCATTTTATTTTTTGTTTGAAGTTAAGCACAAACATATACAGTGGGCTATCTAAACCCGGTTTCTAGCGTTGTACGTCCGCAGACATACCGCTGTGCCACTGGGAAGGTTTCCTAATATTTAAAACGCTTTGTGCTGCCGAGTTTTAACCATTTTTTTTTGTTTTAATATTGAAGAAGTGAAATTTTCAAAATGTAAGTAAAATTCAGTGAAGTGAGTTTATGAGAAACTTTATTGTATACCAACACTTCCTTAAAAAAAGTGCTTAGAAAAACAAATGATGGAATTTTTTGTTAATGCTTAACATTCATGCTAAAAATGTTCCTTTGGGTGTGACAAACATCGCTAGGCCGGATGCACACGTGGATATTTGATTTAAAACACCGAGAGGTCATTGGTCAAACACATGTATTTTCAAGTTGAAAAGTATGGTAATTTCAATTCATTGTACTAACATGTACTAAAACGTATGTTTTACATCACGTATGAGGGTTTATGGTGCAGAATTGTATTCCAGAGTCGGAAATAATCTGTGTATGTATTATTTATGATATTGCTTATAAAACGGTATTTCAAAGTCGTAAAGTGTCGTTATTATGGCATTTTACTCTGTCTTGTTTGAAATGTACTTGTAACTTAAATGACTTAAATAACTGGGACAGTAAGAAATGCATTTTTTTTCATAAATTCACAAATGAACGAGAAACTAAAGAATTTGAGGAATGTGTTGACAGATATTTTCTTCATTCACTCGAACAATAAAAGTACCGAATGTTCCTAAACTCAATTCTGACGTATCTTCTTGCTTCTACATTCTTAGACAAAGAAAGGTTTGTAAACTGATTTTATAAATATTTTTTCAACATGAAACGTAAAAGTTAGTTCTCTCTTCTTCTTTTTTTTTACCTGCGCTATTTGCAAACAACAACTGTCAGTTGTTGGAAGAAAAGTTTACCTGAAAAATTATGCTGCTTTATAAAATAAGTTGATTTTTGATTGTATGAAAACAAGTGGTGACTGAAATAGTGATAAAAAGGGTGGAAATATGGCCCATAGGGAGTGAAACCAATACAGACCAGACTGACACCTGTTCCTTATCCAGATATAGAACTGACAACTTGTGGATAAAACCAATACAGACCAGACTGACAGCTGTTCCTTATCCAGATATAGAACTGACAACTTGTGGATAAAACCACTAAAGACCAGACTGACAGCTGTTTTTTATCCAGGCATAGAACTGTCAACTTGTGGTTGCAAGACAAAATGCAACACGTCAAGGTGCAAATGTTACACGTCGGGACAGACTTGAATATATGAGTGTGCATGTGATGCACACTGATTGTGTCAATCCGATAGAAATACCTGCAGTTGCCGATTAAGTTTGGTCCAGGAGATAAAAGTTTATCCCGAGTGAGGAATGACTTTATACGTTCTCACAAAATAGTCAGTTCTTATAGTGCTTAAAAGAATCTTATACAAAATATAGGGTTTGAGGATATATTGTAAAATCTATGAACAGATTGATGGAGTAGCTATGGACTCTCGCTTTGCTTTTGACCTTACTAAGCTTTTTCTGTGCTTCCACGAAAATGTTTTAGTTATAGTCATTTCCTAAACGTTTTAAGCCTGTGTATTCCGGGAGATATGTTGATGTCACTTTTGTGGTGTTTAAACAATGTTCAGTTTACTGTTGAAAATCAACAGAATGACAATCTCTCGTTCTTAGATGTTTTGAAATGATCAAGTTATACTTACTGCTCAAGATGATCATGAACCAACTTTCACATGACTTTATTCACATTTTGAAAGTTTCACAATTTTAGTCTTTATAGAATGTCTTGTCAAAACGCAGCTATGAAAAGTTTTGAAATACTAGGAAATCAATTTTTTTAAAGCAGAAATTGAGAACATTAAACAAATGTTAAAAAAACTGTTTTCTATTGTCGTTCCTAAATAAAATAATCCAAACAAAACTGAAAACTAAATAATCCATCTGTCGTTATGTCAAATGTTCCAAAGAAAAATGTTACTTTTGTCCTACAACACTTAGTCACTATTCCTTACACAGTTAATAAGAAAATTAATAACTCTATTAAACAGTTATATCCACAAATTCAGTTAAATGTATTTAAAAGAAAGTCTAGGTTACAAGGGATTTTCAGCTTTAAATACAAGCATTGAATACCTCGCTAGTGGTATTTGAGTTAACGTACCCGAGATTCAACCAGGGATATGCTGGATCAACCACTGTAAGGCTCTGCAGTCGAATGAAAGAACAATGCAACGCTACCTACAGTACCAATAGTATTACCTAATACTGTCTAAACGAATGTGCTTATATCCAGTTTCTTCCGCGTCATTCTCCATTTCCAGGAAGAATTTCCCCTTAAAATGCTACAATATCTTGTCATTAAACTAAGAAAACAGCTTTTAACCAGAAGATGGGCGCACTGCCACTACACCTTCAATTGTGACAATGTAAAGAAAGAACAGAACATGAACGCCGATCGTTAAAATGGAATGCTGTGCAATAGGCTGTATTTACATCAGGAATCGAACCAAGATTTGTAATGTTATGAGACCTGAAGCTTTCGTTGAGCCACCGAGGATATTTGTAGAACGTTTTTTTTTTTTTGAACAGTTGTTAGCTAGTTTATCATATTCTAGTAATAAGAGTGAATTGTATTTGAACATTACGGTTTATCTATTTGCGTTTTTCCCTTTAAAATGAAGACACGGCAAATACCCATATATTAGATAGGTTTATTATTTTTGGATTTATTATGTAGATGGCGCTTAATATACTAACCTGCAATGCATGGTGAGAAGCATAGTACACAGATGGTAAGCACTATTACTATTCTCACATGATTGTTAGAAGCATTAACAAAATATTAGATACCATTGATAATTACGTAAATTATTGTAAACAAAGCAGATAATTTACAATTTGTGCTTTCAGTGTGGCGTTGTTATGTTGTAATTATTTAGTTAGATTTATCTGATACTTTTTTATTCATAAAACCAATTTTTATTGTTCGAAAATAAACATTACATCAAGAGTACAGAAGTATTTTTCTTAATTTAATCTAGGAATTAATATAATCAAATATGAACTAAAAACGTCGAATCATGAGGTTTACCAGTGCTATTTGCTTCATAAAGTTTTGGTGTTAGGTCTGTATAGAAAATTCATAAAAGCAAAAAATATGGA